TTTTTTTTTTTTTTTTTTTTAAACCAGGGATTGAACTTGGGTCCTTGCACTTGCAAGGCAGGTGCTGGAACCACTGAGCTAAATCCCCTGCCCTATCGTATGTAAACTTAAGTGGCTTTTTGTGAAGAAGGTTCCAGAATTTTGTAGGCTTTTGAAAAAAAATTTTAAGTCTACGAGCAATGTATTTTAATTGATGAGACGTTGGAAAAGACAAATAGACAAAAAAAAATACATTGAAATTGCTTATAATCAAGTGAGATTGTAGGTAAATTCTTTCAAGGTTTCTCATTGTTTTTTCACATAAATAAGCAGTAGGAAGGAAAATAATTTCCCACGATCCCACCACTTACCAATATCCTACTTAATAATTTGATCATATATACATATTTTTAAACAGTGATAACAACTTTAAATATCATTTTATAACCTGCATTTAATACTGAACAATTTTAGCCTAAACATCTATGTCAATAAATGTGGGTTTACTTTATTTTTATGTCTGCATATTTTATATGATTCATTAACCTCATTATTTCTTGTTAGATACTTGGGTTGTTTCCAGTTTTCATTATTATAAACAGTACTAGGATGAACATCAATAGAGCTAAATCCCCAGCCACATCTTCAGTTATTTCCTAAGGCAACAAGTCTTAAAATTGTTGCGTGTTTGGGCACACCCTGTTTTAAAGCTTCTTGATATTTATTGTCAGAGGCCTCCTGAAGATTGTATCTCATTCCTCCACCACGACGCGTGAGAACATCTGTTCCCCATCGCCCTCAGCAACCCTGATTATTACTGTCCTTTTAGTCTTTTAAAGGACAGCCAACACTCAAGAGACATTTAATGCAAGCCCTTCCTAGCAGGGACGATAAAAAGGGAGTCCAGAGAAAGAATGAACTTGCCACAGGTGACGTTGTGGCACAGTTGAGAAAAACCTCGATGTCAGGTCCTCTGACTTCCAAACCAATGCTCTTTACCCAGTGGCCTCCGCACTTATTCCTGACCTTATATTCAATCACTTACTCTGTCTGCAAGTACCTGTTGAGCCCTTGCCCGTGCTGTTCTGTGCTGGGCAATGCGCATGCTCCAAGGAGCGCCGCCTGGGGCCTCTGGAGGGCTCTGCTGGAACTGCTATACCCCAAGACTGCAGCCAAGGGAGGGAGCCCCACCCAACTGCGCACACTCTCTGTCCTTCTCTCCACTAAGCTTTTCCAAACGTCCTCACCCCAGGGCTTAGTCTAACTGCCTGCGGGATAACGGGCCCTCTTGGCTATTACTGCTTACGAAACCATTCGTTCTTTCTCAATGCTGTTTAGGAAACAATTCAGTTGGGATTACAGCCAGGTTTCCTCTGTGTGCCCGTGTGTGTGTGTGTGTGTGTGTGTGTGTGTGTGTGTGTGTGTGAGAGAGAGAGAGAGAGAGAGAGAGAGAGAGAGAGAGAGAGAGAGAGACCAGAAGGCTACAGAGGAGAGGAGGTAGAGACAGTGACTGTTCAGACACACTAGTTGCACTCAGCCCATAAATCTCTAATTTTTTTTCTTCAAAATCTTTTTTAAACCTGAGGGCTCCGTAGTAGAGCTCTTGTTTCACATACAATGCTTTGGATTCAATCTCCAGCGTTTAATTTTTATTAACTTTTTAATTTTTAATTTTATACTTAATACCTGGATGGACATATATACATATACCCAGGTTCTCACTATACAGTTCAGTGACACGGTGCCTAATCCATATTTACACTGAGCTACAACTCCAGCCTTTTTTGTGGAAAATAAGTTCTCACCAAGTCACTGAATTGCCCAGGCTGGACTCAAATTTTCAATCCTCCTGCTTTAGCCTCTCAGAGTGCTGGAATTGCAGGCATGTAGCACCACACTCTCCTGGAGTTCACATTCTTGAGCAATGCAGTGTATCACTCCATTTATTTGTCTTCTTTTATATGCTTCATTGAAATGTTATTGTTTTACCCATGAAGGACTTGTTCATTTTGCTTAGGTTTGTTCCTAAGTACTTCCTTTCTGAAAGTTGTAATAAATCTAGTTATTAACCTCCCCACAGAATTTGTAAAATCTTGCATTTTTTTCCTTAAAACCATTAAAGGTTTGGGGCATGGTGAGGCCTGCCTGTAATCCCAGCATTTTGTGAGCCTGAGGCAGAAGGATCACAAGTTTTAGCCTACCCTGGACAATTTAGTGACTCAACAAGACTCTGTCTCAAAAATAAAAAATTTAAAAATTAAAAGGCCTATGGTTATAGCTCAGTACTGGGTTCAGTCCCCAGAACCTGAGATTAAAAAGTTGAAATTAAAGCCTGAGTCCAATCCCCGGTATTGCAAATTAATTAATTAATTTGTTTTAGAGGAAAGAAAGATTAAGTTCATGTAAATAAAAAAGAATTAGCTGGAGATGTAGCTCAGTGGTACAAGCCCGAGGCCCTGAATCCAAGGCCTGGCACTGAAAATAAATGAATAAATACATAAATATTATCTTTATCAATCAGACTACTTTAAAGAAAAAAAATGTATAAATCCAGTGTTAGTCAGATGTGAAAAAAATAGATGTAGTTTGGACCTATGCCAGAGGGTGGGCACTATGACAAGGTCAGTCCAACTCCCAAATGCTATCGTTCAGCAATTTTACTTCCAGGTAGGAATTATCCTTCAGATGTGTTCTGAGGAAAGCATAGAGACACCCACACAAGCACTTTCATTTCTGCCTCACTTCAACAACCAAAAAGACTGGAAACAAGCCAAATGCCTATCAAAACTGTTTTGCCATATTGCAGTACATCCACCTAATGGTGTTTTATGATGCCTTTAAAAATAATGAAGGAGATATATTTTAGCAAAATGGAAAGAGATGTGGCCAAAAGTGCTAGTTACATTCCATACAGCATATTGCAATTCTACAAAATATCAACACACATGCATACATACACCATGTATTTAAATATGTATAGAAGACTCTACAAGAAGGCACAAAAGCCTAGCAAAAGTGTTTACTTCTGGAAAATGAATGAAACATCTTATTTTTTACGTAGTACCCTGGGTTTGCATTTTTTACTAGGAAAATAATATTTTTTATCATGGAACAACTAATAATCTGTTCTTTTATCTCAATCTCCCAAAGCAGAAAAGTTTGTTTTCCTTTACCCAATCAGTGGCTTTGGGTTATGTTTACATTGGTTTCTTAATATGAAACCAAATAGAGACTGAAAGGATGACACTGGTGTCCATGGTACCCCTGTGGGAAGCTTGGATAACATGACTAATATTTTGATAAAGGGTAAAATGAAAGGTCAGATTTCTTTCAGTTCAGTTCTGGAGAAATATTGTTCTATTATTTTTATTCACAGAGTAATGCTGCCAAGTTTTCTGTTGCCCACAGACTTCCAGTTCCTGAAATCCAGATGCCCACCTCTATTTCAAGCAAAGCCAAATTAACATGGGCTGCAGTCACCATCAACCCAACCCGACCATGGAGATGCTCCAGACATGAAAATGAAATTGTTGAAGAACAAAATTAGAACTGTGGAAAGCTCTGGCTTTCCAGGAGGCTGACTCTGGGGAGCGGACACAGCAGGATAGGAGGTGCTTACAAGGACCCCTCTTCCACATCACACTGCCTTCCTCAGCTTGGCTACCGTCTTGTAGCAACTATGAGGCAGAAGAACTGTTCCTCCAGGCCAGTGGCAGTTTGGGGGAGGGGTTTTAAACAGGGGTGCAGGACCCTGGCCAGGTCAGGGAGTGGAACCAGCTTTGCCCTGAGGTCCAGAGTCCTTATGACTGAGGGGAAGTTCTTGCCTAGATGGGAGTAAGCAGAGGAGATTCTCTAGTGGATAAGGTCCCCCAGTTGAGTGTAGGGAAGAGACAGAGAGGATGAATTCTGTCATCTTCCCTACAACTCCCTCATCTTCCTTTTATATATCCACCACAAATTCAACAAGAAGGGCACATGTCACCCAGCTTTCAACCTCTTCCCTTCTTGTAACTGAGTGGAATTTATCCCAGGAAAGCAAGGAGGATTAACATTTAAAGATCAATCAATGAAAAAAAAAATCGGTCCATGCAATTTGTCATAAATGTGAAAGAAAACCCATATGATTTCTCATTAGATGCAGAAAACCCATTTGCCAAAATCTAGTATTCATTACTAACTTAAAATTTTTTTTAAAAAATCTCTCTAAAACTAATAGAAGGAACTTCCTCAAACTTCATGAAGGCTATCTATATTTACCTATACTATCAAAATCACACTTAATGGTGAATACTGAATGCCTTCTCCTTAAGATCAGAACCAGGCAGGGCTGGAGATTTAGCTCAGGGCTGCCACCACCTGCCTCTCAAGCACAAGGTCCCAAGTTTGATCCCCAGTACCCCCCCAAAAAATATATATATATGTATGTATCAGAACCAAGCAGAGATGTCTGCTCCTGCCATTTCTGTTTAGCATAATACTGGAGATTCTGTGCAATTCAATAAGATAAGAAGAAGAAATTACATGTATCAGCATTTGAAAGGAAGAATTAAAACTGTCTGTTTATATACAGTCATTTATATAGAAAATTCTAGGGAACATACAAAACAACTACTAGAACTAGCAAATGAGTTTAGCAAGGTCACATTATACAAGGCCAAAAAAAACCAATCAGTCATTTCTATGCACTATCAATAATCAGAAATTGAAATTTCAATTAGTATCACATAATAGCATCCAAAATAGGAGGTGCTTAGGGAAAAATGACAAAAGATGTGTATATCTGTACTGAAAACTACAATACATTTCTAAGAGAAATTAAAGAGCTAATAAATGGAAGGATGATATACTTTGTTTATAAGTCAGAAGATTCCTCTTTTTTTTGGGACAAGGTCTCACTAATGCAGCTCAGGCTGGCCTTGAACTCGCTGTGATCCTTCTGCCTCAGCCTCCCAAATGCTGGGATGACAGGCGTGCCCCACCATGCCCAGCTCTCAGAAGACTCAGTATCGTGACAATATCAGTTCCTGTCTAGTGATATACAGATTCAATGCAATCAAAATTGTGATCCTGGGAGAGAGACACTCCAGTCTCAATGACTGTAGCTATAACTCTGCTTAGAGAGCACAGAGAAAACTACATGAAGACTCTGAAAGTAAGTCAGAGCAGGCAGGTTAGGGAAGAGGAATATACTTTACATATCAACCAAGGAGCAATGAGCTTATGAATTTTTTCTCTGGTTTGCCCTAACCTGAACCCAAAGCAACCTGAGAAGAAGGTGAACATTTGGTAGGCACAGCAGGAAGCGCAAAGAAAAGCATCTATTTTTTACTTAAGGGACAGGAAAGAGATCTCCTGATGTTCAGAGAATACAGAAATCCCTAATTTCCTTTCTTTTCCTTTCTCCATTATCTTGCACCCTAGCTCTCAAGCAACTCTATGGCAATGGCAGGCAACAAAGTTGGCCAGGAGCTTCAGCCCATGAGGGTAACTTCTTCTCCAACAGGGGCGCTGTGCTCCCAGAAATATGGGGGTTTTGCCCTTTTTTTTTTTTTTCTTTTTCTTTTCTTTTTGGTCTTCCCATTGCCTGGGCCCAGCTGCAGGCATAATCACAAGAAATGCATCCCAGAACAAAGTAAATAAATCCCAGAAAGCCAAGAATCTTAGAGAATCAGAATATACCGTGGTGGGGGGAGGCGCTCAGGAAAGCTCCGTTTGACTCAAGTCCCAGAAAGAGGAAAGAGAAAAACCAAGATATGAGAAAATACTTGAAGAAATAATGGTTGAAAATTCTCCAGATTTGGCAAACACATAGTGATTAATACATATATATTTTTTCATTTATTTATTTCAGTGCTAGGGATAGAACCCAGGGCCTCACCCTGCTAGGCAAGTGCTGTACCACTGAGCTATACCCTAGTCCTGCTGGTTTTGTCTCTTAATGTTTCCCAAACTTGCCGAGCCTTTGTCCTCACCTTTGTATTTGAGAGTCCCTGCCAGACAGCTGGGTAGGAACTGCTGCCTTGTCTTGGAGCTGAGTGCGACAGGCAAGAAGGCGCAGTATGCTCATGTAGGCAGCGACGCTTCACGTTTCTGCCAGATGTCACCAGGCACCAAAGCACAGCCCAGTCTCTGATCCATCTGTCACCTCCGCTGTTCTCACCTGCACACAGACATCTCACCTTTGGCCCCTGGCCCATGGGGAGAGGAGAATGTGCAACTGTCAGTCAGCTTGGTCACCCCCCACTAGGAACGCCAGCTAATCAGGCTGTCATACTCCCAAGAGTCTCTTTTGCCCCAGGACATGCAGCACCTTGCAGACCTTTCCTGCCTGCAGCCTGCTCAGGGCTTCCAAACATGATCTTCATCTGTTTTCTGCCTTTTCCAGAACTCTGCTGTCTCTTGTCTACAGAGTCCCATGTCTTGCTTTCAAATGGAACTTTGTATGGTATTTGCTTATGTGTTCTGTTTGTCTCGCTTTTATTATCCCATGGATTCGGTAGGGGAAAAAATAAGGCAATATTGAGTTCAGTCCACCACCATAAAATTAATGCCTATTCTCTTCATACATCCTCCTTCCTCATTCCCAAGTCTCTCCCCTCTGCAGCCTGCCCTGACTCTACATATATGGTCCAGCAGTTCAGGAAGCTGCCAAATCTTAAGAAATGGAACTAGGGCCGGGGATTTAGCTCAGTGGTTCTCCTGCCTGATTAGCAAGCACAAGGACCTGAGTTCAATCGCTGGTGCAAAAGAAAAATGAAATGGAACTCAAGGGCCAGAGATTTAGCTCAGTGGTTCTACCGTTTAAGTTGCAAGTGCAAAGTCCCAAGTCCAATCCCCAGTATCCCCCCCGCAAAGAAATGGAAGTCAAGCCAGGTGTGGTGGTGCAGGTCTATAATCCCAGCACTCAGGGAGGCTGAGTCAGGAGGATTGCTTCTGTCTCAAGAGGCCAGCATGGGCTACATAGTAAGTGTAAGGCCAGACTGCACTACAAAGTCAGACCCTATCTCTAACAAACAAACAAACAAACAAAAGGGACTCAATACCTATATGGTGTTAATTAGCTTATACCCCTTCACACTGTAGAAGTAATTTCTGGGTTCCAAAGCCATGAATCCAGGTCCCATCACGACACCTCCAGCCACAATTCTTTTACCCAGGTAGACTCCAGAATAGATTTTGTGAAAATAGACTTTATTATAATAAAATGTCTTTTTAAACAAATGCCTCCACCATTCCACAACCCTGGAGACCAGGGAGGAGGTGGGGTTCTGTCAAACAACCTCCCACCACATCGAAGGAAACATGCAGAGAGACGCTCACCCAGCCAGGGTGAGGGATGGGCGGCTCGGCAAGGGTAGAGAAGCCCCTACCCACTCTGAACAGGGAATGTATGAAAATAGCTGCATAAATCTGTTCTTATTCTCAGCCCCTGGACTCCCACAGGGGTCAGAGGAAAACAATGCAAAAGAGAAGTTGAATCCAATGAGCAAAATAAGGCAAACCCAACTCCTGCTTTCTGCCCCCTGGTCCCCTGGGTTTCTGGGGAGGGCGGCGTGTGACACCGGGGCCAGGTGGCAGGGCAGGGAGGGGTGGAGCACGGCGGGGCGAGGTCAGGCCTGCTTTGGCACAGCCTTCTCCTTCCCCAGCCTGTGCGGTGGAGGCGAGATGGAGGGGCTAGAGTGAGGCACTGAGTATGTACATATATACACGGCTCCGCCCACCGCCCCTCGGGAGACTCCAGTGCAAACTTTGTGATCAGGACAGCCAGAGTGAAAGGGGGGACAGGCCCCTTCTCCCCTCCGGGTCCCATTCTGGGTATACAGAGGGTCAAAGAAGGGACCCACACAGCCTGGTTGGTGGGAAAGTAGGATTAGACTAGGCGGGTGGACAGGGAGTTGAGAGTCCTGAGTCTGGTTCTGGTCTCCTGGGTGCTCTGTAACCTCGGTCAGGCTACTCACTGTGGGGCTGAGTTTCCCTCCTACAGGGGGAAGGGGCCCAGCTCAAGGATGCACCCTTCCAGACCTACCTAGCCTCCCCGCTTCACCAATCCTCTTTGATTCCCATCCAAGAGCCACAGTGTTAACTCAAAGAACAGGCGTTCTGGGCCTGGCAGGGCCTCCCTGCCCAGCCACAGCCAGTGACCTGGGGATCCCCCGGGGCCACTCCAGGATGGGCCACAGCTTTCACTCCTTCTTCCCAGAGCCCAGTTTCCTGAGGAGCTGCTTCCCTTTGCACAGGAGACCCCAAACCTTCTCAACTGTGCCCTGTGGCTCCCCAAACTCAGTCCTGGGGAGGCTTCCAGGGCTAGAGGTGCAATGCCAGCCTCGGGGCACTTCAGGTCCTCGTGCACCAACCCAGTCCTGGAATGGGAGAGAGAAGGTAAGGGGCTGGCCCCTTCCCGAGCCCAACTCCTTTTCTCTGAAGCCTCTGAGTCTTCCATGTCACAGAGCTGAGAACAAACCCACCACTGGCCTGGACATGTAGGACACAAAGGTGAATGGAGTTGGGACACGCGACATGCATCTTAGTTCTACCTTATTACCTGCGGCCCTGGGCAGGACCCTCCCCTGCCCTGGGTCTCACTACAAGGCCCAGACTGGCCAAGCTCCAGAGTTCCAGGAGCAGGACCCTTGGGGTGGGTGCCCTCCACTTCCCATGACATCCCCCACCCAAAGAAGGGAGAGCAAGGACATGGGCGGCTTAGAGGCAGCTGCCTCTGCCGGGAAGGCGGTGCCACCTGGACTGCACCTCATAGGCCAAACTGGCTAACATGGTCTCTCGGGGGCCTTCTGGGAGTGAAGCCAAGACCACTGCATGGGGACAGAGATCTGGACTCTCCCTTGGGTGGCGCCTGAGAGGGCACATGGAGGCCAGGGCCCAAGGGCATGTCCCAGTGGGGGCATCAGTAGCCCCACTTTAGCATCTT